AACTACAATTTATATACCATTCGACTATTAGGCATTAAAAAGGCAGAATATTCCCTAAAAACGCGCTAAAATTAAGGAGAGANTAGATAAATTGTAGATTGGGAAGACTAAAACTTCTACAAATCTTCTACAATTATGTCGAAAATGTCAATTATGCTACAATTGAAATGAGAATTGGGATACTAAATTCAATGTATCCAGTTTGTAGATATCTTGTAGATAAATTGTAGATTATTTGTATTCTGATTGTAGATGAATTGTTTTCTGTTTTCACAAATCCAAAACGACTAAAGCTTCTACAAAATCTTCTGCAAAAAACAGTCTACAATTTATCGACAATTTTTCTAATTTTTCTACAATTTCTACAAAATTACTACATTTATACTACAATTAAACGTTTTGGATCGACCTGAGGCCTTCGCTGAGATGATGTGGCCAAGATAGTCAATGGAGGTTTGTAAGAACTTGCACTTGGAGCGTTTGACAACTAAAGTGTGTTTGCGGAGCAAGTTAAACACCATTTCGAGGTGTCAAAGATGAGCAGACCATGAATTGATGAATTGTAGAAGACACCTTTAATTAAGGAGTAATTAAAGGTGAATAAGGAGTAATCAATTCATCTCAGCGAGAAATGTGGGAGAAACGTGGGCCTGGTCAGATCTTAGTAATTAAGGGGAGAGAGAAACGTGGGATATATGGACACCTTTAATTAAGGAATAAGAAACTGCCAATTAATTATACCACTAAATTAATTATGGTATATAAATGGTAATTTGGTATGCTGAAATGTAATAAACACAAACCTTAAACATTGAGGGTAATAACGTCTCATATATGGTATAGGAATGTAAAAATCTCTTTTAGTTTTATGACCCCATTTCTTTTTTTACACATGAGATATTTACTTTTACACATAAGAGAACTAAAAAGGGAAAATCTCACTTTATACCCATTAAGCCCAAACTATTTACCCTTTAATTCTCAAGCCTAAACTATTTACTTTTCTTACCTATGCAGTCCAAATAATTTACCCGGCTCACTCATTAGCTATTACAGAATGTTAAAACACATTCGGCTTCATTTTTGCAAGCTTACCTGGTAGTGGACTTAAATAGATCTACTTCTTCTCAGCTAGATCGATCTTTATTAAGAGGGTCAACCCAAGTTATTGCTCTACCTCCTTTCCTTATGATTTTTGTGTGTGTATGAAGACCCACAATTGTTGAGCTTGAAGCTCCTGAATTTGATTTTTTTTTTGAAGATTTATTGTTTGATTCGATGTGGGTGCTATAAAAAATTTCTTATTAACCTTCGAGTAAGCTTCCCAAATCTGAATTTTTATTTTTGTTTGGATATCCACCATTGTTGGCTTGAAACTCAATTTTTATTTTTGAAGATTTCTTGTTTGGTTCAAAGTGGGTTTTATTAAATATTGCTTATAGTACCTTCTAGAAGTTCATACTGAAATTTGATGACATTTAAAGTTGATTTGAGGTGACTGAGATCGAATCTTTCAGCTGAAAATCGAAGAAGAATACAGTTACCTAATAGTATACTGCTACGGTATATAATATGTTATAGGAGTATATAACTATATTGCAACAATGTACTATTACTGCTACGATATATGGTAAAAATCGAAGAAGAACACAATTACCTAACAGTATACCCTTACGATATACAATATATTATAGGAGTATATAGCTATAATGCAACTGTATACTATTATAGTATATAATATACTGTAACAGTATATTGTAATAATGTGCAATATACTGCAACAATATTCTGTAATAGTATACTACCATAATAGTATACCATTTTAATGTAACAATATAATGTTGAATGAAGAACATAAAATATCATTTTCATATATTCTATGCTATTTTGGTATATAATATATAATTCAATAGTATATAGTTTATTACAATAATATATTGTTATAATATACAATATGATGTTATAATTGGGTCATTTTTTTTTTAAATTTTTTTAACTAGATCCTTTTTAAATATTTTAACAAAGTTCTCATGCTTTTTACAAATTTTTTTTCTTAAAAGAGGTGTTAGATAGAATTCCATGGAGATGTTATTTATTGTATTAGAAGTAGGTGATGAAAATGATAATTATTTCTCTCTTCTCGATATTTAACTTTTACGGGCAACCTACGATTTCACCTCTTGTTGGCTTCATCCGGTTCTCGCTTCCCTCCTCCTTATGTAATGTGTCAAGAATAAATTATGGGCATAATTCAATCTCACGATTTAACAATAGCCTCTTATGACTTTCCATTTAAATTTATGAAAGCATAACCACAATCACGATTCCCCTATCTCCTTTCACTAATAATATTACGCACAAAAGTTGCAATGGGTAGGAATAGTAATTAGTTTGGTGGGTAGAAAAATTAATGGATATGTACGGGTAATTAGTTTAATTTTTGTGGGTAAACCTATAAAATTCCCATCTAAAAAAACACTAATTTCAATATTATAAAAAGCCATAAAAGCGTAAAACCTCTGTTGATTAGAGGGGGATATGGAATTGAGAGTTGATAAAATCGTGAAAGAAAATATTTTCGTCCATTTTTGTCATTTTGACATAAAAAATTTGTCCTGAAAAATATTGTTTGACAATCAAACACTAGAAAATAACTTATTTTATAAAAAATAATTTTTGAAAATTCTTTTGACTTATTATTAAACACTCCTATTTAGTTCTCCATATTTGAGTAATTTTCTGTTTCAAAATTTGGTAGAATACTCGGGACCCCTAACGACAATAACATTAATCGGATAGTTGTACTATCGCTATTTCTTCGTCAAATTTAATATTTGTACATTATTTTAAGTTATATATAGTGACAATGTAATCAATTTTTACACATATAATTTAACCGATTATAATAGGTTGCTTATCATTTATTTTGAGTTATTAATTAATTCTTAATTACTTATTAAATAGAGTTACCTATTAAAATAATCTGATTATATAAATATTTTTTACAAGGTATTTTTATATATACTCACATTTTGGGTCACTATTGAAGTTTTACCGGCATTGCATAAAATTTTGTAAAGTATATCCGTTCGGATCTAAAGTAGTTCAATGTTTTCGATGCAACTTCAGAAATCAAATATGAAGTTCTTCTATTTTTTAAATGCAACTTCAGAAATTCGAATCTTAAGTAATTCAATCACTTTAATGCAACTTCAAAAATCAAATATGAAGTTCTTCCATCTTTCAAATGCAACTTCAGATTTAGAATTTGAAGTTCTGAACATAAAATTATTTTTCGAATTTCTTAGCACAAAGAAAAAGAAAATAACAACGAAGAAGAAGAGAAAAAAGTATCTGAAATTACCTAAAATTGATTATCAGTTAATTTTTTTATAAAAATAAACAAAAATTTAATGAGAGGCGCAAAACTGAACGCCACGTGAAAATTTTACATTTTTTACATTGTCAATGACAACTTAAACTCTTTATAAGTAGCTAACTTTTCGGTTTTCTGTAGCTGATGGACCTTGGTAAATGAAAGCTAGGTCACTCAAGTGCTTCACCCAATGGGCTAAATGGCTACTATCAAACATGGGCCGATTCAATGATATTAGTATATTTGGCAACATAATGATTAGATATCTTACACAAATGTTTCAAATAAGTCTTAACTTATCAATCTCTAATCATTAATTATAGACTTATCAAAACTAGTCAAATACATATAAAAATTAAAAACTAAAATAAATAAGGATTTTTCTCTCCAAGAATCATACGCAAAGATCTTCTTCCATATTTTTAAGCGTGATCAACAACATTAGATGTAAGATGGAAAGGAAACTTCATGGATGCTATAGCAAACAAGTTGAAAAAATACAAAAATACATATATATACAAGATTATAAAAATCTAAGCAAAAAAGGACCTTTTTCACTAGGTATGGTTGAAACTCATTGAAAACATATAGATGAGTCAATATATAAAATTTGAGGAAGATTGAAGGTGATTTGGACTGATTTGGTATCAAAACTCGTAATTAAAAACGAGTTCAAAAAATTCTTCTATGACACATGTATCAAATATGTATCACGCATGTATCACACATACATGTATACTTGGATATACATGTGATACATATTTGATACAAAGATGATAATATGTGATATACAAATGATACACAGTGTGATACATATATTATTTTTTTTCCTGTTCATCTTTTACTACGAATTTTCAATTCAAACCACCTCAAAACTCTACAAAATTATCCCAAAACTGAGATTCAAACTCCTTGAGATGTGCCCAATCTGTTCTAATAACACCACTCAATAGAAAGCAAAAAAAGATATTTTTTTAAGCTACAAATAGCTAATTGACCAATATTAATAATATTTTATGAATTGCTCAATTTTTGTAATAAGTTACTTATAAATAAATAGACATAGCCGACATTTTTCCCAGCCCATATCATAGCACCGGAAAGCATAAATTCATTATCCATCTTAACTGATTAACTTCTGAAAGGAAGATAAGTTAATACTCCTATTTTTACCGAGTCAAGAAAGGTTTTTATTGCTCTAAAGTTCAGTGAAATAATCCCTTGCTAAATGAATAAAGTGGACTTTTGAACGATCGAGCAAATATTGGTTCCTTGCCTACAAATATGTCTGTCTTATGTATAGGATGGACAACATTCATCCAACACATCTACAATTACTATTGTTACTTCTTTTCAATTTGTTAATTCAACTCGTTGTCTCCTTCCAGTTTCTTTATGGCTTTCTCGTAAATTTCAAGTATTTATAACTTTTCATTTACAAGCTTAAGTTCAAGCCTCTTACCATCTAGTCCCATTAAACAACATCATATGCTTCTAAGCAACATGATAATCTAAGGAATAGATTATATGAAAGAGTACTAGAACTATGCAAACATATGAATAATATAGATAACAATTCACATAGAAAAATCAATAAAAATAATAAAGAAAATAGCATGAAATTTGCAACAATAGTTTTCGATGAAAAAAATAAAGAAGTATTTCCCCGAATTTTAAAAAATAAAAAAACACAAAAGAATTCTTTCTTTTTTCACATCTTAAAATATGATATTCAAATTGGCTATGAGGGTTAATCCAAGAATTATCATCCACAAATTGCTTAGCAACGATCTTAAACCGTTTGATCCACCGCAAACGAGCTTGTGATCATGGTATGTGCATACTGGTCGCTTCCTGTAACATGAAAATATCATAGTTACTCTATTTGCTTTAATTTGACAAAAGGGAGAAAAGGAAAGGAAAATGAAGAAAAAAAGGGGTATGCTTTCTCTAAAGAACAAAAAATTGCTTATAGTCATATATGTTATTTTTAATTTAATGTACCAAAATTAAAAAAATTGCTTCGCTTAATGGTGTTTATTTGAATCCTGCTATATAGAATAGACTTATGAATGTGGGATTTATTTGAGAGATGTACTTAGTATCTAAAACAAACTTTAGTTATTTTGCACAAAGTGGGGTCACAATTTCTATTTCTTAGGTACAAAGAACTGGTCTAGACATAGATTTGGTTGAAACTTGGAAAAAGGAATATTTTAAGTTATTTTGAAAAAATAGTTTTTGAACGTTGAAATGTGTTTGGACATGCATTTTACTGGAAAAAATATTAAAGTTTTGCGAGTGGAAAAATATTTTTCACCCAAACCAGTTTTTGAAACTTGAAAATTTTTCTTCAATTTTTTTTTTCAAAAACTAATCAAATTCTCTTTAACAAACAATATTTTTTGTTTATTATTATTATTATTATTATTATTATTATTTTTTTAAAAAAAAAAAAAAAAAAAAGAAGTAGCCAAAATCTATGCCCAAATTGCAAACGGGGGCTTAAAATTTTGTGCTAGTCTCATATGTTGAACTGCTAGGGTATTTGGTTTGAGGACATAAAAAAATATTCTAGCATCCCTATTTGAGAATTTTCCACGTGATTGGAAGCTACTTTTCTTATAAGAAACTTATAGTTGTATTTTTACAGTTGTTTTTGTGGCTTTAGTGGTATTTAACTTCTTTTCCTACAGTAGATATTTTCTGCACCATGTCTGCAATATAAAAATTTCATATTACATAGAAAAATAGATTAAAATCTTAAAACATGTATCTGGTTATTACGATGAACAAATATTAGAAAGAGGAGTAAAAATAAAAAATGTGAGAAAATATTAGGTGAACCTTGGTAGATAGTTGTGCTGGTATGAGATAGCATGTATCACGTGAAATTAATCGAGATATCGGACACCACAATTGTAAGAAATAAAATAAAATATGAGAAATGTAACTATTTTAACGTACCTTGATGAGCAAAAAGCAATAACATAATCGGTCCCCGAGCATGTATAAATGCTAGTTGGATCATCATAGGCATAACTATAAGCAGTAGGACAAACTTGTTTGAATTTCTTGGAATAATACGTAGGTTGACAAGTGGTTGGATTTCCATAATTACCCCTACAACAATACTCATCAGTGTCAAACACATCACAAGCACTTCTGCAGGCAACAACTTTCCCATTGGCCTTAACTGCAAGTTCTTTGGGGCAATCCTGTCTTAAATCTCCATCACAACCAGCAATTGAGCAATTTCCTTTACCATTAATAGGAGTAACACTGATGGGTACGTTAAAGCCATCAACAAGGCTAACATCGTAAAAATCGAGAGATGCGAGGGTAAATTCGGCAAGTGAAGCAGGGGTTTTTCCTGTGCCTGAACATTTGAGGGATGGACCGCAATCACCGGTTTGACATGAGCCGTTGCCGTTTTTGTCAAAATTACAGCCAGTTCTTCCCCAAATTCTACCTTGAAAACCAACGGGTGCAGTGAAAATAAGGGATTGGCCTGATTTTAGAGTGAAGCCACCACCGTTGAAGTTGTCACCTGGGAAGACACCTGGCCAAACTGTCTCTTTGCAATGGTTTATTATGGTGAAAATTCTTGCTGACTCCGACAATTTTACACCTGTACGTACATTCATACAAATTGTTAAATATTCTCTTGGATTCATACTAACAAGTGGGTGTTTGGCTAAGCTTCTAAATTGGTCAAATTGGCTTATAAACACTTTTTGACTTATTTACCTGTTGGGTAAACATCCAAAATGCTTATAATTCAAGTATTTATAAGCTACTTTTAGTTTGACCAAGATTTTTTACTAGTTTATCCTTTAATAATATTTTCTAATTCACAAAATACTTTTCCCAAAATAAATTTTCTAACTTTCTTTTCATTCCATATTTTTTGTTCATCTTTTTCTTTGCAATTTTTTTTTAATTTATAATCTTTTGTAAAGTTTTTAAGGATATTTTAGTCATTTTAATAAAAGAACAAATTTTCAGCACTTTTTCACCAAACACTTCAACTGCTTATTATCAGTTTCAACACGTCTATCCAAACACGTAAATGCTTATTTAAAAACTCAGTTGTATCACTTAAAAATATTTTTCAATACTTCAAACTTATCAGCTATTTACAATCAGCTAATCCAAACGGGCTCTAAGACTGACACGTGCTCCCTTCAATTTTTGTGAAGACACCTACTCCGTCCAATTTTTGTGACATAATTAAAGTTTAATAAACAAATAAACACTTTTAAAATTTGTAATAAAAAATAGATTAATTATAAAAGAAATATTTAATTTGTAGTTCTTGAATTTGTCATAATATATTTGGTTATATAAATTTATTATTAAAGATAAGTGAAAAATACAACGTTAATTTTTAATTTAAAGTCGCATTTCATTTACCCATTTTTACATGTTTTATTTGCTATAAAATAATGCACAAATTTGGCTAACGTAAACTATGTAAAAAATAGCACTGTATAGCCAGTTTTCGGACTGATCATTCAAAAATAGTCAGCGTTTACCAAGTCAATGAAAAATAGCTACTATTTTGCTGCAACAGAGAACGGTCCAGCATAATATACCGGAGTTCGGTGCACCTGTGTATGAACTCCAGCATATTATGCGGGACCGATATACTTTGCTGGCTCCAGTATAATATACTGGAGATTGAAGCATCGGTGCTCCAAACTCCAGTATGTTATGCTGTACTGGTATACTTGCTGGAACTCCAGTATATTATGCTGGAGTTCTAGTGTACTTATGCTGGAACTCCATCATATTATGCTGGAGTTCCAGCATACTTATCCTGGAACTTCAGTATAATATGCTGGAGTTTAAGTATACTCATGCCGGAACTCCGGCATAATATACTGATGTATTTTTTGGGTTTTGAATAGTGTTTTCGCTCAGATTTATCTTTACATGAAAAGTGGCTAAATTTCGATTACTTTTGAAACTGGGATATTTTTAAACGACCAATTGTAAATCTGACTATTTTTGAATTTCTCCCGTACACTACATAGTGGATTTTGTTCTATGTCTAAGTATCAATTTGAAGTGAGTTATCAACTACCTCATTCCTTTACAAAAGAGAGATGCAAATTTCTTTAATTGCTTGTAACAAGGTTATTTATAAAATATTTTCACGTTCACATTTGAATTTTGCAGAAGTCACTAGCCATAAAATGATGAAACTAATTATTCCTAAACGGATCTCCACGGTCTACAACAACAACCCAGTATAATCCCACTAGTGGGGTCTGGGAAGAGTAGTGTGTACGCAGACCTTACCCCTACCCTGGGATAGAGAGGCTGTTTCCAAATAGACCCCCGACATCCTTCCCTCCAAGAACTCTCACCTTTGCTCTTGGGGTGACTCGAACTCACAACCTCTTGGTTGGAAGTGGAGGGTACTTACCATCAGAACAACCCACCTTGTCCCACAGTCTACAATGGGATGAAAGTAGTCAAGGGTAATTCTGGACGATTTATTTAAAGTATATCATAATTATTACATCTTTTAATTTTTTATTCAACAAATTTGTCAGATATATACTTGGGGAAAAATTGAAGAAGACCAAACAAAATAGAAACATGGAAATAGTACCTGATAAAACAAATAAAATGAGCAAAACTCTTTGAACAAGAATATGATCTGCAGCCATTGTATCTTTCCCTTTCTGTAAAATTAGTTTTGTGAGTTAATTTTCAGTAGGTGAATGAATATATAAGGTACGTAGAAGGAATGTGTATGAAAAGAGGCAAACTGCTGAAGTAAAATAAACATATAAAATTCCTTTTCCAAGTCTATTGCTGGAAGATTAATGAGATTCCATTCCATTCTTCAACATATGGGAAATACTCACTACTCATAAGTGCTAACTTTTGCATCAAGTTAATGGACCACAATGTAATTACTTACTTCCATATATAGGGAATAATTCTCATTTAGTGTAACCTGATGCAATAATGCAAAGATAAATTTCAGGAGTTTGTACAATACAAACATCGATATATATTGATGTAACATTACAGTTAGCTCTCAAGTAATGAGCATGTTAGTACTATTTAACAATGTCTAATAATTTATGAAATCTTTTGAATCAGTTTTACTCTAGCTACTAAAAGTCTAAAAGTACTACATGTAATATTTAATAATTAGCAATTATTTAAGAAAATTCTGCAAGGTTTTATGTTTTTTTTAACCAAACATAGTAGGCAGTAGGGTGAAAACTAATGGGTACCGACCTTTTTTTTTTGGGTTTCGTTACCAGGTATTCGGTACCCGTATTGGAGTCCGATTTATTTGGATTCGAGTCACTTATTTCTGGGTGAAGCACTTCCTAACATGATTTTTTCCATATTCAGGGCTAAAAACCGAGCCTCTAATTAAGGACGGAGGAATCTTATCCATCCTACCACAATCCATATTGATTTTGGGTATGTAACTACTTTAGTAGAACAACACTTAAAAGTACAAGTTCTTTAGTAATTAGAAATGTAATCAAGCATATATAAAATTTTGATATAAATATCAACTTTTTCTTCATATGAGTTTAATGGGATCTTTATACTATAGTCGTCCGTATTTATTGTTGACATTTTCTAATCGTTATATATAGATTAAACACTGATTATATATAATGGTATAATATTATAGATCCGTCGACTATTTTTATTTTAAACAATTGCGTGAGCAGCTATTTAGGAACTTTTACATATCTAAACTACATTATAAACTTATTTACCCTCTTAAATATGTTATCATTTAATTACATTTTTATATACATATTTACATGGAAAGTAATGTATTAAATTTCAATCTTTCCTAATTTCGATCTCCTCTTCCCCATTTTTTCTCCCACTAAAAGAATAATCAAATTCGCAATTGTATTTAGGCAAAATTCACTACAAAAGCTTCATCATCTTCAACCCCTAATATTTTTCTCTTGAAAATTGAGTTTTGATGATTAACAATTGTGTCCGATAAACGTGTGCTAATTAAGAATCAGGTCCTCAAAGTAGCTGCTGAAGATTCTTACAAGGCAGTAACTTGCAGTCCAATATTGGTGGAAAGGACTCTTGATGCGATAAGGACTGTTGCCTAAGAATATTTGCCTGCATATCTGATAGACATGAGTCACAAGATTCATGGAGTTCTTGGAACTTTAGGATTGCAAGCAAACAAGAGTTAACTGTGTGTAGTACTCTCAAAGATCTCGGAGTATCGGGAAGTTAAATACTTTGCTTATGGACTGTGAAGACCATCCTTTTGCACATTGGCTGAGGAAGTAATATCGCATTTTCAGTTCAACACTCAAGTTGATCATCAGTGTGTTCTGAAAGTCAATTTTTGAGTCAGTTTAGTCCATGTGTATTAGGAGATTGAGTTGTAATCAAGATGTTATTCAAAACATGTTAGTTGGAGTATTGTGTAAGTGTGCAAGACAGAGTAACTTGTAATTCATACAAGAACTAGAAGTAGGAGAAGTGTGTGGGTATTGGTTTACAAGTCTTATAATTAGTACATTTGGCTCATTTGTTCTAATGAAGTTGAAGTTAAAATCCTACGTGGTAGGTCGTAGTTTTTCCACCTTTGAGCCAGATGATTTTTCACATAAAAATAATTGTTCTTACTTTACTGTTTATTTTATTTACGCGTAAGGAGTAAGACAAAAAGTCAAGTTCTTTAGTAATTTATGAAGACACTCATATTAACAATTAGTATCAGAGCAAGTTCTCTCAAACATCATTAATACCTAGAGAGATCTTGGAAGAAAATGAGTGCTCCACCTGGAATCAACGAAGGACAGTCAACTAGCAGACCACCTCTGTTTAATGAAAAATACTATAGTTGGTGGAAGGCAAGAATAGAGCATTTCCTAATGGCTGGGGACTATGAACTATGGACAATAGGTAATCAAGGACCACTAATTCCCACTAAACAAAATAGAAAAGATAAAACTATTCCCAAAGACCCTTCTGGGCTTGTGGCAACATACTTTAGGATGATGGAAAAGAATGCAAAAGCCAAGAAGATTCTCATATGTGGACTTGATCCTGATGAGTATAACAAGATATGTCTGCTCTAATGCAAAGGAGATCTGGGATGCACTTCAAAGTTCAAATTGCTCATGAAGGAACAAATCAAGTGAAGAGATCAAAAATTGATTTACTCATTATAAATTATGAGCTCTTCACTTGAGGGAGTCTGAACCTATTCAGGAGATGATGACCAGGTTCATTATAATAATAAATGAACTAAATTCATTAAGAAAGGTATTTACCTCTGAGGAACTAGTCAACAAGGTTCTAAGGATTCTCCCTACATCATGGGAATCAACAGTCACTGCCATTCAGAAAGCAAAGGAGTTAGACAAGATTTCACTGGACGAGTTGATTGGAAACTTAAAGACTCATGCGATGAGAAAGCTGGAACTGCGCAAGGAGGAACCAAAAAGATAAGGCACAGGTTCTTAAGGCGTCTGAAGAAGATGAGTCTGACAATGATGAACTGGACCTAGCAATGTTTGCCAAGTTCAAAAGGTTCATGAAGAACTCCAAGAATGCACCTAAAAGAGAAAACAATGGCAAACCTAAGTAGATTGACAAGTCTTCTTATGATGGGTGTTACAAGTATAATAAATTGGACCACATGGTCAATTATTTTCCAATGTGAAAAATTGAATGGAAGAAAGAAAGAGTCGAAAAAGAGAAAAAGGATAAGATGAAAGAGCTAGGTCTAAAAAAGGCAAAATTCTAGGCAGGGGATTCATTGAGGCCATGAAATAAGCCTTTCTAGAAGCATATGAAGAAAGTGGAAGTGACAAAGACGAGGAGAAGGAAACAAGGTCATTAGTCTTTATGTTGTGATTGACTCGCACTAGGCTGTTAAAGCTGCACCTCATATATGTCGCGCCCCCTTTTTCTTGCGAAATCGGGCTTGTGACATTTGGGAGGACAACTCGTTCCCTCTTGGGAATCGGGTTTTGGAACTTGAAGAGTCGCCACCTAATGATTAAGTGCATTAGGACACTAAGAAGGGTTCGAGTTTGAAGAACCAGAGTTTGGGTAAAGGCTAGAAATTATCTCGAGGGGAAGGTGTTAGGCACCCCTCAAGATCCACTAGTGTGGTTCTCAGCCATGTTACAATTGTGACTTCACATAATCAAGTAAGCAATTAGGGCCTCAAATAGAAGGGGATTTTCACATCTTATTGCAAGCAAATTGAAAGATTGAAGAGAGTAAAGAAAGCAGAAATTTTCGGATAATAAAACAAGTTAAAAGAAAGGGGGGGTCCTAGGTTTACAAACAATATGGATCACATCAATGCAATACCCGGCAATCGCTCCTCAGAAGAGGGGTTGCACGTGGTATTAGCGCACCAGTCATCATATCTATATCTACCCTTCCCATCCCGTTAAGGTAGTAAAGCGCAGAATGGTGTCGTTACTTATTGCATGCTAGTACCCGCCCCAATCTTATCAGTCCCAAAGGCATTTGGGACTACTAGTCCTAAAGGAAGGGAAATTTGGCTTTTCCGAGTTTTAAAAGGATAAAATTCTAGGGCGACAATCAAAACATATAAGGCAGGTATGGGGAGAACACACAACAATTTGAAGGGCTCAAACAGGCCTCCTCATTTAAAGAAACAAATTGGCTAGCATGACTTACAAGTACTGGTTATGATCTAAAATCAAATTAAGCGTAGGATAGGCTGATTCATCACATATTTCTCAGATGAGGAGTCCGAATTAGCCTTCCCTGGTTGTAATTTATCAAAGATTGATGCAGTTAATTAATTACCTAATGGTTTGCCAAAGTGAGACCTACATGCATGATATCTAACAGTGCTTACTTCGATTTTAAAGAAGGCTTACTGATCATAGAAAACACATAAGTTCTGCAGATGTTAGACGACATTACCACTGATTTTAGACTTGTAGATGAAATAAACGAATCAGATTCAACTGGTTATTCCTATAGGCATGCCTTCTAGGCGTTGTTGATTTTAAGACGATTATGAAAGTGCAGGAGTCCTATAGACATGGTATCTAGAATGAAACTTATTATTACTTAACCTATAACTGTTTGCCTAAGGATAGATGTAAAAATGTAGAAATGCAGAAACTATAGGCAGGATTTCTATATGACGTGCATGAATGCAGAAAACTATAGGCATGATTTCTATATGATGTGCAAGAATGCAGAAAACGTATAGGCAGGATTGCTATATGACGTGCATGGACGCAGAAAACTATAGGCAGGATTTCTATATATGCAGAGGTTAAGCTACAACACCTATGAGCATGCCGTCTACCCTTTGCATACATAAGTGACCCTCCCCTTTTCACTTATCACCCCAAAAGTTCATTACAAAGTTATTACAACATAGTACAGACCAGAATGAATTAAGAAAAGTAAATTACATCAGAAATTAAGCTACAACCAAGGAGCGTAATGCAGACTCAAGGTCCAACAATATGAGGTGAACCAACTTACAGGATTAGGTTTCTAAAGCCTTCTCTTATTTGGGATGTGTCAAAGTTCCTCAAGAGCCTCAAATGGACTCCGGGCACTGCTTACAACCCAAATATATTGTAGATTAAGAGCATAGTGCAGTGTGGAAATGCCAGCCCTCAGATGTCCAAGTTCAGAGGGAACTCAAGGTCCCAAAGAAAGGCT